GAAGTAGCAGTGACAAAAGACATGTTCCGGATTGAAAGATTCTTGAGCTTGAAAATTGTGGAGGCGAAGCTGTTTCGCCCCATAGAGGAGGACACTCCCCGAAGCCGAAAGGCATCAAGATCACATGGTCAGCCTGTTCCAAGCTCGAAGGTCAGCGACTATTACACGGAGGTGCTCCTCGATGGGGAAATTCGTGGCAAGACTGCTGTCAAGTATCGCACCATGAATCCTTTCTGGCGAGAAGATTTTATCTTCACTGATCTACCGCCAGTACTATCCCAAGCCTCTATCCTCGTTAAAACCCTCAACCCGACACAGAGGGACTGGACACTTATCGCGCATGGAACATACGCACCCAACCAAGACGTGAATGCGGTGAACATGCTGGATGAAATTGAAATTTCCGCAAATGATATTGTCTTCGGACGGGTAGACCTGCGACTCGAAGAATTGGATGCCGGCGTGGATATAGAAAAGTGGTGGCCTATCCTGGATAATCAAGATCAGGCAATTGGCGAGATGTTCATGAGAGCACGGATGGAGGAAACTGTCGTCTTGATGTCCGATGAGTACTCGGCAATGTCGGAACTTCTCCACTCCTTCACTAATGGCCTGACAATCAACATGGCACAACTGATGTCATCGGAGCTAAATCACCTGGCCGAGATGCTTCTGAACATTTATCAGGTCTCAGGGTCAACGGTGGAATGGATCTCAGCCTTGGTTGAAGATGAAATCGATGGGGTTCACAAAGAATCCACCACCAACCGGCTGAGGTATACAACGAGGATTCATTCGACCAACCCACAGGAGACTAGTCAAGAGCGCGAGGTCCTTGTCAGAGACATGGGAAGGACGGCCACTGTGGAGGCTAACCTCTTGTTCCGTGGAAACTCGCTTCTAACTAAGGCCCTCGATCTTCACATGCGTCGTTTGGGCAAACAGTACTTGGAGGAGACTGTCGCGGAACGACTACGCGATATTGATGAGAGCGATCCGGAATGCGAAGTTGATCCGTCTCGAATTCCACGCCAGGAGGATCTTGAACGCAACTGGCGAAACCTTACAGCTCTCACCACAAGCGTGTGGAAATCCATTGCGGGATCTGCGTCGAGGTGTCCCCCAGAACTGCGACGCATCTTCCGGCATGTCAGGGCGTGTGCAGACGATCGTTATGGTGACTTCCTCCGGTCCGTGACGTACAGTAGTGTTTCTGGTTTCCTCTTCCTACGCTTCTTCTGCCCGGCTATTCTGAACCCGAAATTGTTCGGGCTTTTGAAAGGTATGGAACTACGCTCGTACCTTGACTTGTCCTTTTGCTAATCATCTCCAGATCACCCTCGTCCTCGTGCACAGCGCACTTTGACCCTCATTGCCAAAGCTTTGCAAGGTCTGGCCAATATGACAACATTCGGCAATAAAGAACCTTGGATGGAACCGATGAACAAATTCCTCGTTGGTCATCGCACGGAATTCAAAGACTTTATTGATTCGGTTTGTGCGATTCCCGCCGATCGACCAGTCCCCATCGTCACACCCTCCTACACCACCCCTATCCAAATCCTTGGGCGGTTGCCCCCCACATCGCGTGAGGGATTCCCTAGCCTTCCATTTCTCATTGACCATGCCCGCTCCTTTGCGAACTTGATACGAGTCTGGCTTGATGTCTCCCCGGAACGACTCAACGAATTGACCGAGCTGGACGTCAGCCTTGCCAAGTTCCAAAAAGAAGCCCTTCGCCTGCGGGCACGCACCGAGGAATGTCTCAAACGAGCCGAGCAAGCAGAACGGCCGAGTGGAAACCTTGAGATCAAATGGGAAGCACTGGTCGATTCGATGGAGCGACCTGTTACCTTCTACGACGAGAGCTTAAGCAAACCCGGCACTCCAGCGCCAGAAACGGCAGTTGGTACCGCCCCAAGCAGCCATCGCAATTCGACTGGCTACTTCCCTACGCGTCCTCCAGCTCGCCACTCCACTGACCAGGTTCCCGATCCCGAGGATGACACTCCTCCAAGCTCGTCATCGGCGACCTGGGATCAAAGCCGCATTCCATTTGCCATCCCACGCTGGTCTGACCCACGTGACAGTACCGGAAGCTCGAAGAACTCCTCGACCTACTCTCTCGAGTACTCTGATACTGCCAAGGCACGCAGGGCCAGCGTCACGAAAGAGTCCTCCTCCTCGAGCAAGTACCGCTTCTTCGACTTTGTTCCTGCTCCCTCCCGACGCAAGGCTAAGGAACGTGACCAGAATCAAAACAACCACTCGCACGAGGATCTACGCAATGAATCTTAATGCACCAATGCCTGCCCATGCAATCTCCTTTCATTCTTACGTGTTTTTGACTTTGTTCTTTCTCGCCTATCTCTTTCCCATGTGCTTATGATTGCTCATGATTCCAACGTTCCTCTTTTATCCCCATCTTTTGCCTCGAGTTCCGTTCTGCCTGATCATCTATATGTCTATGTTCTCCCCTAAAGCATGTGTCATGGTGTTGATACCCATTCCTTCTTTTGATTGTGTGTTTCATGGTCCCGCCCTCCCTTATACACGTCTCCTCCAGTCTAGCTCTAAGATAAAAACAAAGAGAGCTAAAAAGAACACGATCTGATTTTGAACTCGGCTGAGGCTCTTGTGTTTTTCTCTTTTTGGTCGTTCTGAGGAATCATCTGGGTCTTTTTCTTGTGTGTTCGGATTCCTCTGGAGATGGTGGCCATCGTGTAAATACCTATTACTATTTTTATGTTTTTCCAATAGATGGAATGGCTTGGTGTTCTCATTTTTGTAAGCTTGTGACTGTTATTAGATAGAAATAACAGATCAAGGTCTCTGTACATTGGAAAACAATAGCAAGTCTGTCGTCATAACAACACAGCAGGGGATAAACAAAATCCTAGGCAACACGCCTCCTACAACACCGAATCTTCAAAGGAAGCTCAAAACACAGTAAAATAATTAGCAAATAACCTATACAGCCTCACACTGCATAAAGAAGATGAGCGAAGATTCATATCACTTCCACAAGCAGAGCTTGCCACTAGCGGTGCCACCAGCAACCCAGTTCTTGCTACGGTGGAATACAGCCACGGCAGGAACAGCCGTGATCCCATCTCCACCAAGCTGTGCAAGCTGATCCCCATTGCTGCTGTACACATCGACAAAACGGTTCATGTTGCCGATACAGAAGCGCTGGATGGAAGATTGCGGGTTCAGTTGCCATTGAGGGCGGAGACTAGAAGAACAAAGTTAGGTAATGATACTTGGCAGAACGAAAAGGGATGCGAAAAAGGAAAGAGAGGGATAAGCATACATAGTAACCCAGCGGCCAGTCTGGCAGTTGTGGCGGACAACTGTGTCTGGCTTAAACTCCTTTGCTGAAAGTGTGTGGCCCTGCTTCCACGAAAAGAGACCCTTCGCGCCCACATCGTATATCTTCAATGTGTCGTCGTAGGACGAGGTGGCAATCTGCCCAGCAGAATTGAAGGCTGCGTGGGAAACAGACAGCCGGCTTTCATCCTCGGCAACAGGAGTGGGATCCTCCGGCGACAGCTTGCGCAGATCCCACAGTCTCAGGAATCGATCTAGACTGGCCGTGGCGAAGTAGTTGGGCTGGGTGGGACACAGTGTGAAGCCCCCGATCTTCTTCTCAGAGAGTTCCCAGTTTGACACATTGGTATCTTTCCGCGGCGTTCGCGTATCGTATCGCCCGAATCCACCCTGGAGTGTAGTCCAGTACAATGTGTTAGGGTCATTGGGGGCCATGTCTACTCCGGAGAGTGCCTCGTCAATAGTAGTAGATTCGGGAGCATAGGTCTCTGAAGAGACCATTTTCTCCAAGTCCAGTGATCGAATCGAGCTGTCGTAACTTGCCGTATACAGATGTGTCGGCTTTGAGGGGTTGACCATCATTGCGCTAATGGTCCGAGTATGTGGCTTCAATGTGGTTAGGACTGGATCTGGATCAAAGTCATCCTCGTCGTCGTCTTCACCCGGGGTAGGCTTTTCCTGCGAAGCATCCAACATGCCCAGATGACCCAGTTTGTCACCCGCGAATATAAGAGGTTTGGATTCGGATGGGTGAAAGACCATGCTATACACACGCTCCGGGGTGATCTTGATCCCTGTAATGATCGAAAATGTGTCAGAATGGTAGCTTGTGGGTGGAGAGTATAGTGATTACGTTGAGGATCCCAAGACTCCCACAATTTCAACCCATTCATCTCCTTCCGAAGAGCCTTCAGGTCTTTGTCCGTCGTCTTCTCAATTTCATCTTTCCCGAAGGTCCTCTCATAGGGCTTCGCAACACCCTTGGTGATAACATCCACGCCGATCAGGCTATCAGGACTAAGCTTCTGCCCAGAAATAAACATATCTGCCTGACTGAATGAGTCTGTCCGGCGCATCCTCTTGAGTCTATCTGCTTCGCGCATCGCCTCATATTCGTCGTCGGCCTTGCGCTTTGCTACTTCACTTTCGGCCGCAATGCCCTTAAGGCGTGAGGACGTACGCCGCGGTGTGATAACTTCCTCAGTCTTCACTTTAGGAGCTGCGCGCTTTTTCGGTTTCACGCCATTGCTGCGGGGATTCTTAGGGCTTGCGAAGAGTCCCGAGGATTGCGATTCGAGAGTGAGTTTCTTCAACAGCGCGTCGCGCTCGGCAATATTTGCTAAGCGCTGCTGTTCGAAGTCTGACAACTCAGTTTTCCCCGACATGTTCGTTTCGGGAATCTCAGGCGTACCGGGTTCGCGTGCGGTTTGCGCCTCTGGGGTGCGAGGCACGTCTTGGAAACGCGTGGGCCAGTTACACGACATCACGTGACTTTGAGGGAAGTTGATCACCGGAGTCCGTGCTCTTTAAAGAAAAAGTGATCTTTTGTTTTTCTTTTTTTAGAGTGAAGTTGCAAAGTTGAAAGGTGAAAGAGAAGAAGTAAGAGTTACTCCAGGTTGGATTTACTCTAAGAAGTGCAAGAACAAGGCTGCGCAATTAAGGACGCAGCTATGGCGACAAATATCAACCGGCTATGCCTTCTCTCAAGAAGCAATTCCACGGCACCTTTCCTATATCAAACACGCACACTTACACCACTCTCATCCGCGGCTCGGAACCAATTCAATCGTCGTTTTCCGCGCTCTTTTTCTACCCAGAACAATGCCGAGGCCAATGATGCAACAGAAAACAAATCATTAGCGGAGGATAACACAAGTCAGAATGCTTCTGAACAACCAATTACCAACAGCTCAAAGACCGAGGCAGCTCCGAAACCGCGACGAAGCTATCTGCAGAAACGCGCAGCATCTGTATCTGAAAGGCCTAGCCTCAGACCGTCTGTCGTGAAGAAGACAACGAAGATAGCACCGAAGATCACCAGCCAGGAGAAATTGATATTCGGAGGACTCTTAGAGCAGCTTGGATTCAAACACGATGGGGAAACTACCGAGGCGAGCTCATCGACACCAATGAGCGAGGAGAAGAAAGCCGAAATGGCAGAGCTCATGTCGGTGTTTGACAATCTGCTAAAAGACCCAAGACGAAAGAGGGCAGATACGAAAGCCAAGCAGCAGGCGAAGGACGACTACTCCTCTTACCGACGACCAGAGAAGTCAGAAACGGAAGAACAAGTCCCAGCAGAGAACCAAGGTCCAAAGCGAATCAAGCTCCGCGATCTGGGCTATACCGAGCCCGCCACAGCCACCGCCGCCGAAGTAACCGTCAGCCTGCGGCGGGCGATAGAGATCGTCGTGCAAGCAGAATCCGAGCATATCGAATTCGCACTTTTCCAAGCTATCGAGGAAGGCAAGGGCGATCTGGGCGTGTGGGAGGTCTGCAAAGAGCGCATCTTCTCCATGCTGCGCCACCTGGACGAGAAATCTCTCGTGGAGGCTTCAGACCCGGAGAGTGTGAGCACAGCAGACCAGCCCGAACCACCCACCCGGCCATCAGGACCCCTCCGCGTCCCAGCCGTTGTCCCAGTCGCCCCCGTCGTAGTAGCTCTATACCCGAAGACCCTCCTGATCGCCTTCCGCGTGCTGAACACGCACTTCCGCGAATCCCCACTCATCCCTCAATTCCGCTCGACGATCAAAGAGTACGGCCGTGTGTCTACTTTCCTCGGTGCTTCCTCTGGATTGTACGATGAGTTGATCCACTACCACTGGCGCGTATGCAAGGATCTTCCCGCTGTAACATCGATCCTGCGGGAGATGAACCAGCTGGGCATCAACCCGAGTAGCAAGTCCCGCGGCATGCTGACTGCACTTATTATTCGCCATGCCCGGGACGTGGAGGCTCATCGGACATCCCCGAGCGAGAAAGATTTCTTCTGGGATATTCCGTCGAACAAGGAGGCTTTCGATGAGCTTACCCGTAAGGATGGCTGGATGGATCAGATCGAGGCGCGTTCGGAGGAAGAGGCGAAGCAACGCGAGGCTGCTCTGACGTTCCGCAGCTAAGCTCTGTTTGTTCCTGAACGGATTGCTTCTAATGTATAGTCTGCAATATCATGTACAAGTAGTATCATCAGCGAACCATATCAAACTTTGTTAATACCTCGTTCTTCATTCGACTATCCTATAATTCCAGAGTGATCTATGTACACGAACAATTGCATGCATCCAGCCAAAGAAAGAGCAAAAGCCGACTTAACTGAGCAACAGAAAAGAAAACCTCCACCAGCTCTACAACCCTCCATGAATGCCCCAAAACTTCTCCGCATTAAAAGTATACATATTATCATCCTTCCACAAATCATCAAAAGCCGTAAAGAGTACCAAATCCTCCCTCCTCTTCTCAAAACTCCTCCTCAAACTCTCAACCGCCGCCAACTGATTCTCTTTCGACGGAACCGCACCCCCATTCGCATCCCCAGCATGCGGCCACCCAGACTCCGTAATCATAGTACGCTTCCCCCCAGCCCCAGCCGAGATACTGCGCGCCTGCTCGAGCGCATACGCGCCGGCGCCAGCAGGCTGCTGCGTGGCGTCGAAGAAAGCATGGCAGTTCGCCGCGCAGTAGTCGGACACGTGGCAGAGTTCCGGGTGGTCGAGGTGCACGGAGAAAGTGTCGACTGTGACGACGGGCCCGGTGTACCCCTGTGCGCGGAGGATGGAGCGGGCGGTTTGTACGGCGGCTGCGACGTCGGTGGCGGAGTTGGTGCCGCCGTTTACGAGCTCGTTGCCTACGGCGATTGTGTGGAAGATTGACCAGTCTTTTTTGCCGTTTGGATCTGTTATTGCTTCGCTGAAGGCGTCTAGACTGGAGGGGAAGTTGGTTAGGTCGTAGATGCCGGCGAAGACTTGCATGTTGTGGCGGCGGGCGGCGGTCGTTACGGTTTTGGTTTGGTCGCAGTCTGTTCCGTAGATGCGGATGAAGGAGTATGAGGAGATTCGGTCTAAGTCTTGGTTTACTTCTTCTTGGTTCTTGCAGGTGCGGTCTGCTTTGTAGGGGGAGTAGGATATGCCGAAGTTGGCGTTTGGGTGTTGGTTTTGGTGGGAATGGGAGACGGCTGGTTTGGGGTGCTTGTGTGGGTGGTGTGGTAGATTCTTGGGTTTGCCCTTGGCTGGGACGGGGTGGTCGTTGCTGTTCTTAGATAGGGCGTGTGGTGGTGCACCATTTGTATCCGGGGTTGATATTGAGGGTTGCTTTGATGAGAGAGTTAGGGCTGGCTTTTGATGAGGAACCAACATCTCTTCTCTTCTTCGGGAACAGTTCTATCTACTAACATTCTCTTGGAGCGCAGAGGTCAAGGCCTGGACGTAGTGTGTTTCCGTGCTGATGGTTTCTCCCTTCTCATTGACCCAGACGACTACCTCTTTGGTATAGGCTGGTTGAGCGAGATTTGCACGGGGTTGTTTGTCGGCTATCGCTATCAGCAAAATCCTTTACAAGCATGGATAATATCGTTCTTACCCCCAGCTTCGGCGCAAACACCACAGGCAAGTAGCAGGCCAACAAGTGACTGAGTAAGGCGCTTCATTTTGCAGCCAGGTTCTCCCGGGGGAGACTGATCTCAACACACTCGAGTGAAGTTAGCTGAACTTAGTCGACGTCTATAACATGAGTAACTTTGCAACCTTCTGGAAACCCACACATATGTTGCCGATCCGATCCATTATAACCATGCTGGCGGGCTGGAGCACAGATCGACCTACGTGGACTCAATTGGTAGAGATTGTAAACACAAGGATAGCCAAGCATAGCGCTTAGATCTAGGGAATGGAATCAGGGAGCTTCCAGGTCTCAAACATGCCCCTTGGCTTGGTTGAGAAATCCTTCGGCGTCTGATTCGCTCGACGAGGAGATCTTGCGTGCGGGGCCATCGTACAAGATCTCGAAGTCGGCGATGAACCATGAATGCTCCCAATGATGGAGGAGATGGAATGTGGGGCCCATTCTCGGGTGTCCGCTTGGACACATTGAGGAATTCGGTAAATGTGAAGTAGAATGCTAGCGAGATGTTATCTGATATTATTGAGAGACATTGGAAGGGGGTGGCGGAGGAAGGGGCATTTATATGGTTGGAGTCTGGCCTGGAGATATGAGGCTGCTGGCCTGCTGCTGAGGTCCAGTGTATACTACTATAGCAAAGAACAATTGAAGCAAAGAATCGAAAGATATAGCAATAGCGTCCATTCATGGGACGAAGAGGGTTTTGATCTGAATAATGTATACAAAATAGACATCCTTGAAGCAAACAGCCAAGGGCAGAAGGGTAGTATTAAACAACTTAGAACCATGCACAGGTATAGGATCAACCGCCAACAAAAAGAGAAAATGGTGGGCCTGTGCAGGGGATGCAATAAGAATGTATATCGACAAAGTAACAATACAAGGCATTAGGGCGTAGGTCGACTGAGGAGAATGGTAAATTGATGGAGTCCGTCATATAGGCGTGGGCAGTCATCGAATGGCTGGTCAGGACCAGAGCTAAGCGGCGGGGGAGGGCATTACTTCCTCTTGCTCATCACCTTGGTAATGGCATGTCGAATAATCGTTCCTGCCTTTTCGGTCTCTTTCTTGGTGAGACCGGTAGTGACGCACACCTTCAGGGCGGGCGGGATAACCTGCTTAGGCTGGAAGTTGTCCTCGAGGGTCTTGAGCCGCGTAATCAGAACGCCGTTGGCCAGACACTGCGGATATTAGAAATGGACTTCAGTTAAAATGAAAAAACATGTAGACATACCTCATCGACAACATCTTGAAGCAAGAACTGCTGGTCATCTTCTGTGAGACGCTTAGCAGCCACAACCTCCGGCTTGATGACCAAAACCAAGATAGGATTTTCAGGCGCGCTAGTGCAGTAAACCCAGTCGCTTCGGGGATCCAATTGAGCCCGCATAGCCTTGGTGTGTTCACGAAGTTGTGACACTGTCTCAGGGTTGTTCTGGAGGATGTTGATAGTGGCACTGGCGGTAGTCGAAAGAAGAGCGGGAAGCGCAGCAGAGAAGGTATAAGCAGCAGCCGAAATACGCTGGTGGTGAACAATCTCCTCTGAACCAGCACAGAAGCCACCACCAGCAACAAGGGGACCGGCCAGGGACCCCACAATCATATCAACCTCGGCAGCATCGACGTTCTGGTGCTCCGTGATACCACGGCCAGTGCGTCCCAAAACACCAAAGGACCAGGTTTCATCGAGAATCAAACGGAACTTGTACTTGAGTCGTAGTTCGATCTGCAACAGTTGTCAGCATTCCAATTCATAATCTCATGTAACGGGTTCACATACGATCTTGGGCAAGTCCGCCATGTCGCCATAAGACTCAAACAAACCCTCGGTGATAATGAATCGGCGAGTCAGGGGCTTCCGGGCCTGCTCCTTAGTGACCTTCGCGAGCACGCGCTCCAAATCCTCCATGTCATTATGTTCATACCATCGGACCATGCTTCGAGAGATCTGAATACCCTTTCGAATAGCAAAGCTAACCCCTTTATCCGCGACGATAATGTCACCACGCTTCGAGAAGGCCGGAATAACACTAGAAATGGTAGAGAAGGCCTGGGAGTAGATAATGCAAGCCGCGGTCCCCAAGAACGACGCGACATCATCCTCAGTCTTTATGTGAACATCCTGAGTGCCGTAGAAACCACGCGGTCCGCATGGACCCACACCATAAGCACGGAGTGTCTGGATAGCCTGTTCCTTGAGCGACTCATTCGTATTGAAGTTGTAGAAATTGAAGGAACCAAGGTTCATCACAGTGCGGCCGTTGGTGAGTTTCGATTTCGGGCCTACAGGGCTACAGAGCCGGATTCCACTTGTCAGTAAAATATCCGCGGAGTATCGTCAGGCAGAAGCAATAGGGGGTACGATACCCAACAATCACGGTCCGCTTATCAACTTCCATCGCTTCCAGGGCCGTCGGGTCCCCGACCAGGGGCTCCGGGGTCCATTCGTCCACGAGGTCGTCAATCTCGTCTTCCGTCAGTGGTACCACGCCCGGTTTGGTCGAATACTTGGGCGCTAGAAGGTATCGCACGGCAAAGAGGAAGAGGAAAAGTTCGACGGCAGAACGAATTGGGTCATCTTGATAGCTGGATTTCACGTAGCGGAGGAAGATTGCGGAGCCAGGCACACGGTGGAATAGATCTGCGAGTTCGTGCAGATATTCGGAAAGGATACGCTGGGTCTCCTGGAGATCCATGGCGGAGGGTTGAAGAGAGCGCGGTTTATGCGGTACGCCAGGCCAGCGAGATACCTGAGAGATGATAGGTTAAGAAGAGACGCGAAAGAGTGGTGCTTGATCGTGGAGAACGGAGGGAAGATGAAACGGGAGACTCGGAGTGTTGGGAACCTCGGTACACGTGACCCATCTATTGACCCGTGCATTGCATATTCTTTGGACATTCTACTGTGAAATTAGGGATTACGAACATGAAGAATATTTTCTTGAAAGCAATGCAATTTAATTCCGGTAGAAGTGTAAAATAAAACAAGCAAAGAAAGCTGGTGAAACGAAGGTAAACCCCCGAGGATGACTTGGAAGACCCCTTCATACAAGCGTCATTCCACAAACAATATTTGGAAGCAACCATTCATTAATATCAAATTGTGCGCCGGTGAGTTCAGAAAAATGCAGCGAATTTTAGTAAACGCATAACTTTGTACAAGGCATTTCCATGTCGTTTCGCCAAGGCGATTAGATGGACCACTTTCCGGTGCCCTCGGAGGCGGCTGGGATGCTGCCTGAGGTGTAGCCCTTGGGGATATTAGAGCCAGTGTACCAGGAGACGGTGTCATTGAGTCCGTGATCAAGTGGTTGCAGAAGACCAATCGAAGACGGCTTAGAGACACCCAGGCTGTCCCAGATGCCGCCGGACAAGATGCTATCCAATTGCTTCGTATTTCGCAGCACAATAGGCGCAATGATAATAATGAGGAAGATGAAGAGCGTGAAGAAGTAGAGAATGGCGAAGCGAACAACGCGTCTCTTGCGAAGCTTGGACTGCTTGAGAGAGTAGATAGGAGGGCGAATTTGAGAGCTAGAAGCATGCTTCGTTAGTACAGAGTTTTCGTAGTGTGGAGATGAGGAGCTACATACCTTGGGCGCAGCCAAAACAGGATGACCGAATGGAAGGTGTCGACATAGGGAATGGCGAGGGCCGGGAGCATGGCAAACAGGAGAACATGGCCAAGGAAGAAATCGTTGGCGAAATAACCAAGTTCAGTGATTTTGCACAGGAACTCACGTCCAGGCTGAGAAAGGGAGTGCCAACCCATGCCGTACCATTTTCCGGTCCACCATGCAATATTGGATTGATCGTTCTTGAATTCACGGGTCAGAGCGAGGGCAATGATCACCTTGTAGAGGAAGCGCTGGAGAGCCATAGCAGCGATCATGCCAGAGATGGTTCGGGGCCAGCTGAGGGATTCCAGGAAGAACATGGCCAGGAAGATGATGAGGAAGATAATCACAGCGATGGCATGGGCAATAGCAGCAAGGACAGCACCGAACTTCTTGCAGCACATGCCAAACAATGGGCCCATACAGCAAGCCATGCCGAAGAACATACCCGCGACGCCGGCATTGATACCGACGGGGGCAAAAGCAATAATCGCAAGGCGAATGATGGGATTCGCAGCCCACTTGGGATCATCAGAATACATTGTCCGCGAGTTGATGTATAGGTACGGGATTCCTGTTGCCAGAACACCAAGCAGAGGCGTAACAATTTCGGCGAAGAAAATGTTGGTGATTCGCGCCCTAGGAATATCACCGGAGCCTTTCTCCGATGGAACACCAAGCACTTTCCGCTTGTAACCAGTGATACGAGTACGCGAAAGGCGACAGAAACCGATCCAAGAGGAAGCATGGGATCGGGAGTTACCGCGAGAAAGCCAGCGGATGTAGTCGCGGTAGTCGATGAAGAAGTCGGTCCAGGCAAACTGGTGGGGGTTGAACAGGAAAGGCGAAATGCTCAGCGCGAGTAGGGAAACCCAGAACCAGATCAGAGCGGGAGTCCAGACCGTTGTGGTACTGAACAACAGCATCAGCAGGAGGCGAGCGCCCAGGTAAATTGAAGGCCCAGCGAATCGTGAGTAGAGGACACCGAATGGGATACGAGCCGTTGCGAAACCACGACCGGTACCAATGTATCGCGCACCACCGAAAGACAAGTTGGCGTGCACGGCGTTGGCGTAGATCTGACAAACGAACACCTCGAACATGAACGAGAACGAACCGAAATGCTTGCCCAGACGAGTAGCCATGCGCCACACTCCTCTCTCCGTCAGCTCTTGGACTGCAAGAGGAACCCATGAGATGAAGAACACAATGAAAATGGAGATAACACAGCGGTTCACCCAGTTGAGGATTGGAATCAGGTTGGCGCAGAGAGTAGGCACAAGAGGATCGGTAATAGGCAGGTCGGAGTTGTAACGGCACATGATGGTCTCGTGCTTCAGGGCGCCAAGGTTGATCAGGACAAACATGAACATTTGCACAGACAACATAATGAACATGTTGTTCAGATGGAAACCAGGGTGAGCATAGTAGAATGAGAGGAAGCGATCGAGGGGCAGCTGGGTACCGAGATAGTAGTACTCTCGGGAAAGCATCTGTTCACCCATACCAGTACCAATCTTCGTGGTGAAGTTGAGAACGGATCCGAAACCAAGATCACGACCCTTACCACACTGATAATATTCACAATGCTTGATGCGACCTCCTCGGAGAACAGCAGTCATACCAGCGTAAATATCCTCGTTCAAGTGCAATCCTTTCTGGGCTTTGGAGACACCACCACGAGTCGTCATGAAAGTGGCATTCAAGAAATCAGGATGACCATAGTGAAGCTTACCACCGATTTGAGCCAGTGTACGAGCGAAAAGAGTACCGAACGTTTGTTCCTTGGAGGCGGCAACATCACCGAGAACACCGACGCTCTCGGAGAAAATGTATTCACGGGCTCCCAAAATGGCAACGGGGTTCTCGTCAGGCGAGGCAATTCCAGGGGTGTATGGAGAAACATTATCAGTGGTCAGTTCCTCGAACTCGGCCAGGACACTGCGAATCTTCAAACATTCTTCCAAGTAGTTGTCTTGATTGGCGTCAATAAGCTGGATGTATTCACCACGGTAGAAGATGATGCAATGGTTCTGGTTGTCGGACTTTCCGTCACCGAGAATGGGGTTTCCAGAAAGCTGAATTCTGAACTTGGGCTTCCGCAAGTTGTTCTCGAGAATTTCACAGTGACCATCGATCAAAGCCGAGTAGATACGGGGCTCGTCGCCTTCATTGAGAGGTGGCTCCTCATCCAAGTATGCAATCTGCAGGTCGGGGTAAGCGCGGAGCAAGAATTCGGTGTTTTCACGTTCGTCCTTGCTGAACTTGGCGTAACGCTGCATGGAGACACAGATACGGAACTTGCGGCGAGCCATGCGCTCGAGCTCGCGCTCGAGTTTCTCCGAGTTACCACCAAACATTTGGACAACCTCCGGGTTTTCGACACGGTAAAGCAGCTTGATAGCACGGCTGTAATTCATGAAGCCAGAAATAGTCCTGTACAAGGTCTGGGATCGGAGGGAAGCCCAGATTCTGGTGCGGAGGGTATATTCGGGAGCGGCGGACTTGAAACCAATGCAGTAGAAAGGCAGGTCATCAACCTTGCTCTTGGCAGCGTCTTTCTCGGGCTTCTCATTATCACCGTTGAACTGCGAAGTCTCATCGGCGAGGATCTTGGTATCCTTGACGAAGCAATCCCACTCGTGAGGGTGCAATTGCTTGAGGTATTCCAGCAAAGTGACACGCGAGTAAGGCTCATCTTCACGGATAATCTCGCGGAGCGACAAAAGGATCTTTTCACTGTAGTGGGGAATCATGACCGTGAAAGTGGGCATGTTGTCAACGGGAAGAGGCTCGGGCATGGGTGTAGCGAGCGATTGGGCGAAGAACGAAATACGACGCTCGGCCTCACTACCCTGTGGGAAGAACTCAGTCTTGAAAGATTGATCTTCCTGTGACACGAAGAAGGTTGGGGCGCGGAGGGTGCGCTTTCCTTCCTGCTCGGAGGGAACCTGGTGGTAAAGCAGCTTCTGCACATGGTCGATGGCGAGAAGATGCTCACGGTACATGGAGATGATAATCGCATTCCAAACTTGCGAGATCAAGACCTTGGGCTTGTATTTGATCTCCATGTCGGTAGTGGCAAGCACCTTGGAGTAGATACGCTTCGGCAGGCGGGAGAAGATGTTTCTCCACGGTGACCAAATTGACACACCCAAATAGAATGATCGCGCCACAGAGAAGATTGTGTTGCAAATAATGTACCACAAGTAACTATCCAGGAAGAAAAGTGTCAAGTCCATGAAAGCCATCAAGCCCAGAAGAATCTGAGGCTGTCGGTGGCAAAGGGTGTTGCCAATGTATTGCGCGCCAGTACACTGGTGGATCTGCATTGGGGACAAGATGCGGATGGGATCCTTGAAAGATAGCGTCAAGAAGAAGTAGGATTCCGCCAACTTGGCACCGAACACACAGACCCAGAGGCCGTATGACATCCACATGTCGTTACCTGAAAGACGATAGAAACTAGCCGTGAAGGTCTGACTGGCAACGTATTGGCGTCCACCTTTCTTCATGTAATTGCCGAAAAGCGCACCCAAGGGCTGGATTGCGAAGAAAGTGGCTGTCAGGACTGCGATAACAAAGTGGACAATACCGATGGCGAGGCCGATGCCGTTTTCTGTCTTGGTTGACATTTTCAGCATGGGCAAGATGGCGAAGATGACGATTCCAGGAGCCAGGTTGATAATGAACATGACAATGAGGAACATGAACCGTTTGTGCAGGTGCTGCGCTCCAGCCCACCGTCGGGGAACGTACATCCATTCACAAATGGTAGCTAGAATCTGAATGAAGGAGACAAGAGCACCACCGAAACCGACAGCGCCGAGGTATTTAGCCGTCGGTGGCTTGTTGTCCACCTGTTGTTGGTAGTTGATGGTATACAGAGTTGGAGCGTTGTAGGCAGTGAAGAACCAGAAGGCACCCAGGTGGATAACCCAGATACGGTTGAAGTTCGTGATCATGTGGAACCAGGAGCGAGTTTCCTTGAAAGTCTTGAAGAAGGCATTCTTCCAGACCACATCCTTCAACTTGGGCCATCTTTCAGAGATAGGAATATCGACCAGGCGGGTCTTATC